TTCTCTTTTTTTGTTGTTGTTGTTGTGTTTCCCCCCCACCCCCGTCTAAAAAAACACCCCAACCCAGCCCCTTTATCCCCTTTTGCCTCTAGCATGCAAGTTAGAGGCAAGTAAAATCCTAGATTTCATACATCCCTACAGTTTATAATCTTCATACAAGTGCATATAGTACAGACATATCCCCTTTAAGTGACATATATATGGAAAAAAGTTACAAGTTAAATTACTTAACAAAATAAATAAGTTTATTCTCACCTCACCTCTTCCACTGTTATCTGTATCATGAACTAAAGAGAAAGTTGATAAAATTAAACAGGTCTTTGGACAAAAATACGTGTTAAAACTGGCTCAGGGAACAAACTTACTTAGAATAGTCTGCAGATGTCTTATATTCAAACTTCATGAATAGCAAGCACAATTTTAGAAATGTCTATATACACCAGCACACATGGCGGTGTGCACCAAATCAGGAATTAAGAGGCTAGAAAAAGTGTAGGTACTCAGGAAAGCCCTTCACTATTTCTCTTGTAGATATTTAAAGATCCTCCCCCCTCCCTTTAGCCTCTAAAAGAGCCAAGGGATTATAAAAGACATGTTGCATTTAAAAACAAAGTAGAAGAAAAAAAAGAAGAAAACCTGGGGGCAGAAGGGGGGCGGCAGCTGCAAAAATTTTCTCTCAAATTACTTAGTGTAAGTAATGCAAGTTGAAAATGTTTCAGCAACTCACAGAGTACCTTTTGGGTCCTACAATCATTAAGAGCTGATGACAGGGGAATTAAAAGGTGTGTATTTTGACAGTTCATTTTACGACAGCAGCATTTACTGAGTTTTCATAAGCATGTAATTCTTCCTGAGGGCAACACTGTCCTTTTGGTATTCTACTTTCCCATCAGACATAAATGTTTAATACTGAGCTCAGTGCCTGTGGGAAAACAGAGAAAGCAAAGTGAAGGCACATGCAGGATACCCAAGAGAACACTTTGCACTCTATACTTTTATATGTTTGGTAAAGACATCTTTCATTCAGCAACATTTAATTCACCCAGTTTGTCAAATTACAGCCAGAATATAAAACTGATTATGTAGCATGAAGCAGAGTCAAGCTTCTTTGGGAGTCCTGCTGTGAGCAATGCTGCTGTTATTTTCCTGTTTTGCATGTTGAACCGCCTGAAGTTTCACTTGTAAAAAGATGCCATCAAAATAGTCCTGTAGATGTATTTTGCCCCTTCCCAAAATATGGGAAGATCGTGGGAAGGAGAACAAAAAGGGAGGGAGAAGAGAGAGACTGTGTTAAGAGCCTGTGAAGGTGAGAGAGGGAAAAATGTCTCTGCAGACACAAAAATGCAGCACTAGAGACAAGCACTAATGAGGAAAAATGTTCTCCATGCACATTGTGATGGTGAGGTGTCAGCTTTAGATGTAAACTGGTTGCTCCTGTGCAGTCAACAGTCTGTACATGGCAGCTGGCATAGTCTTCATATGAATCTACAGGAAATACAAGTTAATCAGTGTTCACCCTACAATAGAGCATTAATTGGTGAATGAACTAGCTAAGGTCATACAGGACAGATGGGTTAGGTAAAACGTAAGAGTTTGGATACCCTTATTAAATTATTGCAGGTGGTGATTTTATGAAATGGTATTTTTAGTATCAGTGAACCATCCAAAGTTGTGGACACCGCACAATTTCAGATTAGGATTCTTATAATCCTAGAAGAACTAAGGGTAAACAGTAAAACAAAAGCTGTGGTTTGCTCTCTGTTTGCTCTCATTACCACTTTCTAGATCTGAACAGTAACAGGGTAATAGAGGTAGAATCACAGAATTATGGAACAGTTTTGACTTGGACGGGACCTTTGAACATCATCTATCCCAAACCTCCTTGCTACAGGAAGGGGGTTTGGAATTCCCTAGGTCAGGATGCTCCAAGCCCCATCCAACCTGCCCTTGAACACATCATGGGATGGGGCCATCCACAGCTTCCCTGGGTTGCTTGTTCCAGTGTCTCATCACCCTCATTGTAAAAAATTTCCTCCTAAGTCCTACCTAAACCTCTTACAGTTTAAAACCATTGCCCTTTGTCCTGTCACTGGAGACTCTAGTAAAAAGTCTCTCTCCATCTTTCTTACAAGGTCCCTTTATATACAGAAAGGCTGCTATGAGGTCTCCCTGGAGCCTTCTCTTCTCCAGGTTGAACAAATCCAACTGTCTCAGCCTTTCTTCACAGGAGAGATGCTCCAGCCCCCTGACCTTTTTTTTGGCCCTCCTCTGGACCCGCTCAAACAGGTTCACATGCTTCCTCTGCTGGGGACCCAGAGCAGAAAACTGCATGTGGAGGTCTCACAAGAGTAGAGTAGAGTAGAGTAGAGGGGGAGAATGACCACCCTTGATCTACAGCCACAATTCTTTTGATGTGGGATATGACTGGCTTTCTGGGCTGCAAGCACCCTTCCATTCTGGCTCATGTCCAGTTTTTCATCCAGCAACATCCCCAACTCCCTGCAGTGCTGCTCTCAACACATTCATCCCCCAGTCTATACTTATGTTGGAGATGGGCTAGACCCAGGTGCAGGACTTTGTTAAGCTTCATGAGGGTCTCATGGGCCCACTTTTCAAGCCTGTCAAGGTCCACCTAATGGCATCCTCTTCCTCTAGCTTATCAACTGCATCACTCAGGTGGGTGTCACCTGCAAACTTGCTGATGGTGAACTCAATCCCACTATCTATGTCACTGATGAAAATATTACAAGTATAGGTCCCAGTATGGCACCTTGGGGGACACCACTTCTTACTGGTTTCTACCACTTATTACTGGCAACGGTGATAAACTATGTTATACTACCTAGACACATTGCCTGCTCTTACCTCACCAACAGCATTTGAGAGAATGTGAACAATTTTCTCATGAGGAGTTGCTACAACACTCTGTCCGTTGATTTCAATGATCCGATGGCCAACACGCACACCTCCTCGCTCTGCTATGCCTCCTCTCATAAGGCTACAGATCTGGAAAGGAGAGGACAAATTTATCAGGGTCTGGATAAGGAAGACAGGTTTTAGATTACCCATTTTTTTGCCTGTAAACTGTAAACCAGCATTTAAACACAGAGGCCTGCCACAAATTCTAAAATGTAATCAATCACTGATTCAAAGTACAACTTGTTAACGACAAGTAACTAATGCACATTCTCTTCCAAGCACAGAACAAACTGTCAGAAAAGGCTGTTGTTTTGTACATCACATGTGCTGTGTTTTGGACATTTAAGAGTCTACAAAGGACCATAGTTTAACAGCATTTAGGATGCAGATGCCTTACATTTAAAGAGGATCAAGAACTGTCTTCTTTTGTGATCATGCAATGGCTTGGATATAGACAAGTAGGTTTTGATATACAATTTTGCTTCTTTAAACTAAAACAGCTTTTCTTTCTGACTATAAAGTTGAGAAGTAAGTAGAGTCAAAGAAAAAAATTAACTCTGATTAACACAGCTTTTATATCTTAGGCTTAACACATACTAAGTCCTGCATGATGTAAGGAAGAAAACTGCAGCTTCCTTCTTCTCACACTGAAACTGTGTACTAAAGCTTAACCAGTAAAAGTGGAACTACTCACAATCCCATTCTGCACACTGAAGCCCAACTGATATCTGAGGTCTGGTCTTCTGATCAAGACTGTGGTTACTGGAGGACACCTAACTATGTTCAGTTTAACACGGGCCTGGTTTTTCAAACCCTGCAAAAATAAATTATGATTAAAAATGCTGGCAAAGACAGAGTGAAACATTTAACACAAGCACTGGGGATGGGGAGAAAAAGTATTAAAATCTCAACATGGGAATAGCCCTGAATATAAACAGCTCTTTGTATGCAATGTAACAGAATCTAATCACTAAATGCCAGACATAAGTATCAGAATATTCAGTGAAACAAGTAATAAAATACCATCCTTTTCTTGCCAAGAAGCTGACACAGTTGTTTTAAGAAAACTAGCTTCATGTCAACAATTTCCTCATTCACTAACACGAACCATATATAAACAGGTCTACACAGCTCAGCAAAAAAAGCCAATGACTGGGAATGGGAAATAAAATTTTAGTAAGTAGCCAAGATAGTTACAAGTAAGTGGCTCCCCTAATAGGATATATTCAAATTCCATCAAGCAAACAGCTGGTCCTGCTCTTATCAGGCCAATATAAGCACTGCACCTTATTTCCTTTCCTCCTGCCTTCTAAATGAGTTATATCAGATTCATCATGAACTCCGAGTTACCAGAAAAAAACTGGAGAAAAATTTATTTTTACTGTCAAGATTGTAAAACACTGGAACAGGTTAATCAGAGAGGTTGTAGAGTATCCAATGTTGGAGTTATTTAAGCCTCAATGGGCACAGCCCTAAGTAACCTGCTCACTTTGAGCTAAAGTGTTGGTCTGAAACAGCTTCAGTGGTGTCTGCCATCCACAGAGACTCTGTGGTTGTATGATGCCACGAAAGCTCAAATGTAAAAAGTCAGATAACTGCAATATGATATGACTCCTTGCACAACTTCCAGTATTCAGAGCTTTTGGAAATTATTAGCATATTTTTCTGAAATCACAGAATCACAGAATTTTTGGAGTTGGAAGGGACCTTAAAGATCATTGAGTTCAAACTCCCTTGCGTGGGCAGGAACACCTCCCACTTGAACAGGCTGCTCAGAGCCCCATCCAACCTGCCCTTCAACACCTCCAGGGATGGAGCCCCCACAGCATCTCTGGGCAGTTTGTTCCAGGGTCTCACCACCCTTAAACTGAAGAATTTACACCTGATCTCTAACCTAAACCTCTCTTCTTTCAGCTTAAAACCATTACAGCTCATCCTCTCACTGCAAGCCCCTGTGAAAAGTCCCTCCCCAGCTTTCCTGTAGGCCCCCTTCAGGTACTGGAAAGCCACTGTAAGGTCCCCCCAGAGCCTTCTCTTTTTCAGGCTGAACAACCCCAACTCCCTCAGCCTCTCCCCATAAGAGAGGGGCTCCAGCCCTTGGGTCATTTTCATGGCCCTTCTCTGGACACGTTCCAACAGATCCACATCTTTCTTGTGCTGGGGGCACCAGAGCTGGATGCAGTGTTCTTGGTGAGGCCTCACCAGGGCAGAGTAGAGGGGCAGAATCACCTCTCTCCCTCTGCTGGCCACACTTCTTTTGATACAGCCCAGGGTGGAGTTGGCCTTCTGGGCTGCAACTGCACATTGGTGGCTCATGTCCAGCTTTTGATCCACTAGCACCCCCAGGTCCTTTTCCACAGGGCTGCTCTCAAGTGTGACCTCTCCCAACCTGTATTTATGTCTTGGGTTACCTTGGCCCAGATGCAGGACCCTGCACTTGGCCTTGTTAAAATGCTTCATTCACACAAAGAATCAGCCATAAATAAATACTTAAACATAATCTACATTAGGAAAGAAATGCCTTATAAATAACACAGCAACTTCCACTTTAATACAACTCCTACCCATTCCAGTACCTACTTCTGAATTCCTTTTACAAGTACAATTGAAATCTGGGTCTCACTGCAACTAACTGCTGTCTGGCACTGATTTCAAAAAGTTAATTCTGAAAAGTAATTCCTACTCCAGTTATAGTAGTACACTGAAAGCTCAGCATCCAGTTTACTGCTGCTAATTCTGTTGAGCTGAACTCCAGATTCAGCAGTGACTTAACTAACTAGACTTGCATCTTGCCAGAATGTGCTGCCTTACAGTCTGTTTTCTTGTCAGTGCCTTAAACTGGATGCAATCATCACATGGGAAACAGCTGCCCTCACTTCCACACAGTGCTGAGCTCAGCTTGGCTCACTATTGAAAGTGGCTCCAAGTGATGGGCTTGTGAAAACAGTCTTCTAAAACCAGCAGAGTAGGAGTCATGCAGAGTACTGGAGATGAGGACTGACGAATTTAGGTGTCCAACTTGAGTCACCTGAGTTTAGTTAGGTTACATGCCTCAACAGAGTTGGTATCATTGTACTTATATTTCCCTGCTGAATGTGCAGGTTATTTATAAATATTTCTTTAAAAAAAAAAAAAAAAAAAAAAAAAAGTTATGTGGTCCCCAACAAATCATTTTCTAATTTTACAGGAAGTGGCTAATTTCCGGTATTATGCAGACTGATAATATATGATGCTCAGAAGCAAAACAAGTATATCATTTGACCAACTTATTTTTCTTACTTAGTTCCTAAGTCTGCTTCTGATAGCAGCCACATGCTTTGGAAATAGATACAAGTAGCATAATACAATTAGAGAATAACCACGACATATGGAAAGCTTCTTCAGAACTCTGACAGTTTGCAGTTGGTTTATAGTCAGTTAGTAGCACAGATTACATCCATAATACTGAAATGATATACGTAATACTGATCTGGAGTGTTTGTGAGATATTCTTATCTACATAATATTTTCATCTTTTCATAGGAGTTCTTACAGAATGCTGAAGAAATCTGAAATTCTGAGATATTTCTGCCACATTTAAATGTGTGCTTAGATCATTCGGTGCCCTATATACTTGTTACCAGAAGTGCTGTATGAGCAGCTCCAGAGGTATGGTTATGAAGACCTGAAAACATGCCCGTTTGAAACATGGCTGCTTGAAAACAAACCTCACTATCTTCTCTTTAGAAAGACATAATAAATGGCTAGCTGTTCCTATGGCAACAGCAGTAAGGAACAGCGAGGAAGAGAAAGGTCTGCAGAAGCTGGAAACAACAAAGCTGGATGTTTCTGTACAGATGAGTACAGTGAAACTCCACCTGAAAAGGCTCTGAATCAGAGATGTGTAACTCATCACAGTTTTAGAAATAAAACTGACATGGGTTAGGAAACAAGTACAGCTAACATGAAAAGCTTAAATTTGCAAGGAATTTTGTTCCACTAAAGCTGGCACAAAGATATTTAATATGGTTCTTTTTCTTTCCTTCACAATTTTTTTTACCATGTTTTTAGTATGTTACACTTTCAGGCTATCATTTCTACTCACTGAATTGAAACTCATTGATTTATGCATTTGATCACTCATCAGAATTCACCATTAGTATTTTTCAAACCCAGGAGGGGAAGCCTTTATAACAAAGATCTTAGCTCAAATATTAAGAAATTAATCCATAGACGAAAATTAAAAAGAGACTATGTAATTAATTTTTTTTTTTTTTTTGTAAATTTATGTTGCAAATGCAAAATTTACTTTGCAATTTTAAAAAGTTCAAAATGCAAAAAACCCTTACATAACACAACTTGTTACCAAAAAGTTGCTTGAATAAGTAAGTTCAACAGGCATATTCCTAGAAAGTAGAGAAGAATTCCTGTACACTGCACCGCCAGCATTACATTACTTGTCTACATTATGTGTTCTGCAGGAGCTCTGTGGGGCTACGTCCATCAATAACAAAATCATGTAGCATCATTTCAAACATTCCCTAGGGATGCACCTTTTCAGATCTTGAAATTCTGATGTTAAAATACCTTTTCTCTTCCATGCTACAGCTACCCCCGGTACTGTTCAGTTCCAGCTGACTTGCATTTTTTTGCAGTCACACTTTTCTGACAACTAGAAGAAAACTCGTCTAATTAAAATATTCCATTTAGGCAAGTGAAGAGAAGCATCAGATTTTCAAATAATTTGGGCAAAGTTGCTACAGAGGATAAGTATGTCTTTAATTCCAAATTTAAAAGTTTTTAAAATAGTTATACATCATATTAAAAAATAGCATCAGCTCTATTTCAGCCAGATCCTAAGAGGCATTTGAACAGCTAATACGGCCTTGGTCAATTAGGCACCTGTACGTCCATTTCTCATAAAATTTTGGGAGTCTTCAGATGTAAATCTCGTAATATTCTCCTTCTGAACAAAATACTCCCTTGTGGAGTCAAGTTCTGCAGAGTCCTTGTCTGTACAAGTAAATGGCACAGCTCAGTTTCTGGGAGTCAACAAATCGTTGCAGCATAATTCCCAGTGCAGCTTAAAGATCATTCAATGAAAAGTGCTATTTAAACATTTGATAATAATTTACTTAAGAGTTCCATATTTTGTCCTCTTCTCTTATGTAACATTTTTAAAATATGTCATTTCCAGAAACATTCTCCATACCTTTATAATGCTCTGACATGTTGAGAGTGGTAAACCAACCAAACTGGTCCCATTGATTGACATGATCTGGTCCCCTATGTTCAGCTTCCCAGACTTCTCTGCCGGCCCTCCATGCATCATGTTGGCTATGATAACAGTAGGCAAAATGGATCCCCAGCCAGACTCCACAATCACTACACCTAGGATTTCTCCTTTTTGCTTTTCAATGTAAACCTGTATTGTAAGAGAAAGTGTTTTAAAAAAAAAGCTTCTTCACACCTATGGAACTAATAAACACTGCCCTCCAAACATTCATATAACCAACCCTCCTTATTGCAACCTGTGTTTCTAATTCAAAGGCAAACCAAGATACAACAACATTTTACTGCATTTCATTTGTATGAATATAATCAACACAAAATAATCAACAGTATATAACAGATTTTGCTTGGTGCAAAACACTCCATACAACTAATTTCTGCACATAAGCAGAGGAAACTGGAGTGAAAGAAACCCTGGTGCCATGGGCTTTGGTAGAGAAAGCTAAACAAGCAGAGTTTGCAAGAGTTTGTGACTGTGGATTGGAAAACTACTACCTGAGTGTTGCAGTGGTGCATTGCTTCATCTTTGTTAAGCAAGCTGCAAATCTTTTCGGTAAATATAATCCTTTAAAATCTGGAATCAGCCACTTTCACAAACACCCACACCTCTATACATTTTATAGTGTTTACTAAAACCTGTTAAATTGTATTCCTTTGTTAATCAGTTTTAAATTCATCTCATGAACATGCAATGTCAAACACTTCAGAATTTTGTTGTTTTTGTAAAAAGAACACAAACAAATGGTAAACCATTTCACTGCTCACACATTTTGGGTTCATTGTTTGCCTTTGAAACAGAACTGAAGACTGACTGTCTTACTTGGGAAGATGTTCTATGTTCACTGAGGAAGTATTAATGGTTTTCAGATTTTTGCCAGCATGGGCCTGGCAGCTGGGTGCTGTTATGGAAAAAAAATGAGACATACATCTTTGCAGTTTTCAGATTTGGAGAAGTGAATCAGGTCGTCATTGTACATGTCCTGGGTATTAAGTAAGTCACTATACTCCTTCTGGCTAAGGTCTTCTGGATTGATTCCATTTGCCCTCAGAAATTCCTGGTAGGCCACACTAAATGCTTGACCTATGGACTGTGCAATCAGCTGTGCCTGTAGCAGTTTCCAGAGAAGAGAAAAGAAAAATGTGAAACCCTCTGATGGTCTTGTCCACTGACACTCTCTCTGCTACAATCACAACATAAAATGGATTATCAGGTCAAGCTGACAAATCTACAAGCCAAGTTCCTGCAATCCAGTTAAAGATATATTTGTGCATTAAAATTTATTTAAAAGATCCTGAAAATGTCAACACATTCACCTGTGTCATGAATCCAGCTTGGTAAGCATTTATGAATAAGAAATACAAATAAAAACATCCCTTTATAGGTAAGAACTGTTATAAAAATGTAAAGGTGTATCTGGTGCAGTGACTGTAGCTCAAAACTACAATTCTTCCCACACGTGCAGCTCCCACATGGCTCTCCCTTCTAGCAGAGGCAATGCCATGTTATGACAAGCCAGCAGTGAAAATGAAAATGTCTACTAGAAAATATACAACCAATTTAAGAGGATATCTTCTCCTTTTCTTACCCTCTTTTAAAACTATCCTGTCCGTGTTGGCTGCTCCTACCTCAATCTCAGATGAAGCAGGAAAAGGGCAGAAAATAGTGAACAGGTCCAGGCCCTGAAGTGACTGGAAATGGTGACACACATTTCCTTCTTCACCCTGCTGCCTCCTTCGAACTCTCTCACCTACATTTCTTGTTTCTCTCCCTCCAACAGTTCAATTTTGCTTTTTCAGCTGGCCAGTAAGAGAGCTAACTTGTGACTAGAAATACATGAACAGCAGCCTCAAAGCAGATAGCTTATCAAGTGATAGTAAGCCTATATTAAGGCTACTCTTTCTACTTTCACAACAATTTCTTGAAAGACTTTGCAACATTTACATGTTACCTTAGGGAAAAAACCCCACAATCTTTTCTGCTGTCAAATTTTGGTAGAATATCACTTCTATGAGTGTTCCTGTCCTTACTTTTTTTACCTCAGCAGTGGGCTGTATATTTACATTCATCTGCAATCAGACAATTTATCCACATATAAGTTTAGAACAGATTCATCACTACATAAAATCAGCTGCTTATTCAAGAAAACCTTCCCACTTCAAAGTCCTTGCTGATACACTGAAGAGTGGGAGACATGAAGATTTTATAAGGAACTGGTATTTTCACCTTTCTTTAAAGTAATACTCTGCTATTTGGATGACTCAGAACTGAGTTTATTTTATTTCAGCTAACCTGATTATGACCCTGACAACTACATGCCTAGCAACTTAAATCAGATATATACCGTTTTCAGCTACTGACTTTTAAGAAGTGCATAAAATCAACAGGTTATGGGAACTGATTGTGAAGACGCTATATCTAGTCCTACATAATATAACTTAGTAACCAGCACCATAGACTAAAATTTACTCAGCTGTGTTTCTATTCAGTATACTTTGGGATTGTTAAAATTACCAACTTCCTTTGCTGGCTTTTTGATATAACATCAGCAACTACTCCTCAACACAAGCCTCCTTCTCCTCCGAAAAAAACCCAACCAAAACCAACCAACCAAAAAAACCCCAAACAGATAAAAAACCAAACAAAACCCAAACCAACCAACCAACCAAAAAAAACCCCCAAAAAACCAAATCCTGCAACAATTTCCCTAGGAAAAATAAGTATCTCTGATAGACTTTAATTCTCACATGTAGAATTTGGGCTGGTAATTGTAACCTGTCGCAACTGGACCCTCCTCTCATTGTTATTAGGAGGCACGGAGGGAGCTTAAAAATGGGAAGTGTTTCTACAGATATCAATTTTGTGAGTAAAATGACAAGTGCAAACATGCAAACAGAAGGTGAGTTCTGCTTAGATGAAATATTTGGTTGCAATTAATGAACAAGCAGGATAACTTGCAATGGACTTCAAGCCTACCAAAATGCGCTTACATTTCTACCCCTAGAAAATTACAAGACAATAATTCCTTACATCCTCAGACTCAAATACATGGCAAATCATTTTGTACTGCCTCTTTCCATCTTGGGAAGGGTGAGATGCTTCCACATTATCCTGGGAGTTAGACCGTGGCATTCGCCTACGAGCCATCAAAACAACTATATTTCCTATATCTGCAATGTAAGAAATGGTCCGCAAGGGATGATCCATCATGGTTTCCTGGGGAACACAAAAAACCAACATGAGCAGCTGTTTTAACAAAGTTCTAATTGCACACCTAGTATTAAGAGAACAAAGGGCAATACAAGACTTCTGTTAAGCGGAGTTTGTAGCACCTGTCATGCCTGGAGATGTTGATAGAAAACAAGAGCTTCACTTTCCAAAAGTAAAGCAAGGAACACGTTTTACAGATTTAAAGTTGTGTTTTCTGTGGAAAAGCACATAAAGATCTCAATAAGAGAACCTGAGCATGCTGGGCATGTATGTGCAAAAGACTAGGAACTTCAGATTATCAAAACCAAGTATTCTTGGCTACTCTGGGCACAATCCGATGCATGATGGCTTGTAAGAAATAAACTGACTGCAGTTAGCTTACCCACAAATTCTAATAATTTCTACAGTCAGACACACCAGAGTGATTGTATGAATAATGTGGTTCTTGAGCATGGATTTCTTACTAGGAGGGAAGTACAATAGCCAGGACTTTTTGCACAGCAAATTTTGGCAGGTAGGTGGAAATATCTTTCAGTAGCCTAAGGGCACAGTACTGACAAAGGCATCTTTGTCCATACCTGTGTGTCTGCATTCAGCACTTTTATTCTCTGTGTAGAAATGAAGAGGTCCACTTCAGTCATGGGTTGAGATTCACCTTCTGGTGCCTGCAAATAAATAGATTAAAGTCAAACAAAAACATTAGGTTACATACTTACTAATGATGTTAGCTCAAAAACAGGGGGTCTACTAAGACACAGTCACCAGAACAGCAATGCAAGATAGAGTATTAGACTTCAGAAGCTAAAGATAAACACAAAGATATGGAAACTATATACATATATGTGAAAGTTAATTGAATATTCTTTGAAAAAATTTTAACCCTATAAAAGCTTCCCTAATATTTTTCCTGATTCAGTAAAATTATACCTGACTGGAACATGAACTATAAAAAAAATAATGAAAATCAAAATTATTCTTCAATTTTCTCCACAATATGAACCCCAATTTAATGAAGGCTTTTCACACAAGCCATAGAAAAGCCCAACACCATCTCTTGCCTGAGGAATTTCTCTATGGGCTAACCACGATCAATGGAAAAACCTACACCACACGTGGGTACAGTTTAAGCAATCTATAATGCAGTTCTGGTAAAAAGTCCTTCACAATCAGACAACATACTATTCAAGCACTAACCCACTGCAGAAGTCATATTTTGTTAAAATAAAGCAAACATTTGTAGTTATTTTAAAAATTAGATTTGTTAAAAGATACTTAAAAGCTCCGCAAATGAAACTTGATTACTAAGATGAGTCAATCTCAGCATGTAACTGTGTATACACATAGAAACTATTTTCTTTTTTGCATCCAGCAATTTCACACTCTGTGAATCAAACAAAGCACTCATAGAAAGATAAAATAATACTAAAAAAAAGACTGAATTTTAATCTATCATTTTACAGAGGTAAAACCTTTGCTATGTCAGTCCTATTTCTTTAGCATGCATTTTGGGTACTGCCTGTAACCATTTGATAAATCCAGACTTTGCTCTATTTCTAACATGAAATGGCTCATGATAAGCAACAAAAAATGGCCAATCGGGCAACTCATTTCTGAGAAATGTCAACTTGTATGGTGGCTCAGAAATAAATCTAAAGAAAACTTGCTGGATGCAGAAAATAAAAATACAAAATTAAAAAAAACCAGGCAAGAATCCCTCCCAGAAAACAAAAGAACAGGCATAACATCAAGCTGATGGAGTTTGTACTGCACCTTCTTTCTGCTTTTGGCTAATTTCTGGGCCATCTGCTTAGCATGGAACAAACAGAGACAGGAGAATATGTTAGAGAAGAACTTACAGAGACTCCAAGTCAAGCAGGAATCTGCATGCTAATGCCAGGGCTCACAGACCACTAGCTGTTCTAAGTTACTCCCTGCTTAGATTAATTTCCTCCTTTTCTTTTTGGCTTAAAAAAAAATGTAAAATTTATGTTTAGCACAACTATTAAAAAAAATTAAAAGAAACCACACCAGAAGAGTCAGGAAGAGCACAAAAGGATTTATTTTTCTTCACGTAAAATGTTACTTGCAACAAACAAGGGGGCGGAGGTTGCAGGTTTGTTTCTTGGCTCTTTTTTTTTTTTTTTTTTTAAGGTAAAAAAGTGGAGCCTCTCCTCATTTACAGCATTTTAAATCATGAGGTTACTTCTTTTGAAGTAACATCAGTGTAAAAGGTAAGGAAAAAATCCTAACCATTCTTATTCCAGATATTTCAGATCTAAATAATTTAGATTCAAGATTCCTAATGCTCTAATACTTAAACAGTCTTTTAAAAAGACTCTCTAAAACTGCCCTACTTTATCCTGGGAAAATAAAATGTCACAAGGTAACTTTCATCTCTATTTTCTCCACCTTCTTTGCAAATATACCCATACCCATTTTAGCCCTGCGTATCTGGATGCCAGGCTTTCCTATGACACCTGCACAAAGATATTTCCATACTACCACGGTTTCCATGAAGGACCTGTGTTTCAGTTTCACAAACACCTCAAAATAGGTGTCTTGTCACTAGGTAGTGTAGTTTATTTAAATCCAGAGATATACCAACCCATTGCGAAAAACTGATTCCTTGTGTGCTACTACTGTGACAACAGTAACAACACAAATAAGCAGCATTCTCAGAGTCTGGCAATCATTAGTTCAAACCAAGGTGAACTGAACTTACAGACCTGCTTACTGAAAAAAATGCAATACTCACCAGGCTGGCAGATATCCTTTTACTTCCAACAGTAACAGCCTCTTACCTAATTTACAGGTATTCTCGTGCTGGGAAGAAGGCTTACTATTACAGGCTTCACACAGATTCGTGGCTAACTACTTTTGCAAAGAACAAACATGAGGCCTGAATCACTAGACACATCAAACATTTTAAATTGATGCCCTCAGCTCAAACCTGTCATGTGTTACCTAAACACACCTGAAAGCAGCTACTGAAACTTTAGGCCATGATGCTCATATTTACAAATATAAACTTTCTCAAGCCAGCTTTCAGTTGCCTTTTTCAAACTAAGCAATATTTTATATCCTGGTGATCAGAAACTATTGCAAGAGCAAACAGAACTGCCTCATGCTCCAGGGTCTTCATTGCACTAATATTAATTTACAATGGTACTCAGAAATAACACACTCATCTTGAATAACAGTTGCCTGCTGTGCACTGGACAAGCGGAAAACACTCATGAGACAGAGTATTTAAACTACTTTCCAAAATAAAACTCCCCTTCAGGCAATTTCCCCCCTTCCCCTAAACATTATGGAGTGATGGACCTCACAAAAGGAGGAAAGCACAGGTTAAAAAGAAGAAAAAGTGGGGGAAAAAATCCTTGAGCTAGAGGTTTACAATGCAGAATCAAAGATTAATCAAAACACACATTTAATTTATTGAAAATCCTTTTCTTGCAATGGAAGCACTTGATCTTGGTAAGATTTTAATTTTTTGAAGAATGACTTAAAAATGTTTCATAAAATTATGGTAATGATATGGAACAATGAATTTTAATAAGTGATTTATCATTGCACAGGAATGTCATAAAAGTTATGGTTCATTAATTAAAACCAAATTAGGATAATTTGTGTAATACAGTTTACTAGACAAATAATCTTTATCACCACATTATTTTACTAATCTAAACAAAATAGTAAGTTTTTAAAATGCACAGAGTCCAAGCTTTTCATTTAAGGTAAATGAAATATAATTATGTATCTAGTACCAATTTCCAAAATCATATATTGTTAAAAACCAGCAGTCTTCCACTCTTGCTACAGGGATGTCTTAAATATACCCAGATCATTTAACCTCTACAAAAAATGTACTGCAATACAGTAAATACCCAGGTAACACTGAGTATATAAAAATGTGCAGAATATTAAGCTATTTCCACATATGGGTTTTATTTTAAATTACATTTAGTAATTAAATCAGTTGTTATCTAAGCATGTTGAAACCTGCCACACAGCTCAAATCTGCAGATTAAAAAATAAAAATAAAAGTTAATTGTTAGTTCACATGTGAAACATAACAGCTGTGAATTTTAACGACCAGTATCAACTTTTTTACTGTTACAAGTATTACGGATATACTTAAAGTAAAATGCAAATAAGATGAGTCTTTCTATGGTATCTGAAGAAAGGAGACTACAGTGTGAAAATGCTGAAATATCTGATCTACCACTAAAAGAATCACCTAGCAGAAACATGAAATAGCTGTCTTTCTTGCATGCCTTCAAAGCAGTTTATCTGTTTCCCTTTTTAATGTTCTTAACTTAAAAGTCTGTAAATTTCTAAAAGCTCATTCTTCATTCAGAACCTTCACTTTCTTTAACTACAGAGAAATGTTTCTATGTGCAACACCTAACAGGCTTTGCAAACACACACAAGCAGGGTACAGTATCACAGTCACTGTGCGAGCAGCATTTTACACATTTGGGCTAAAGGCCATCTTAAGCAATGATGAATCTGGCAGCAGAAACTCCATCTGTCACGACAAATTTCTGACTAAAAGAGTTTAGCTCCAATGACAATCAGCAACAAAACCAGCCAAAACCAACCCTAACAAACTGAAGACCCTAAGGTGCAGGGATCTGTATTTACATGGCTTCACCTAGAGGCAGAAAAGCAGTAACTGTCAAAAAAACAAACAATGGTATCATGTGCCATGCAGCATGCCAGCCACTTTCTGAAATGCACTTAAAATTTCAGAAAATTATGTGCACAAGCTAAGGTTTTGCCAGGTCAACAATGCAACTATTTGGGCCTCCATCCTGGGACTAATTTACTACAATCCAGAATACGTATGCCTACTGATTTATATGGATGTATACATTATGAGTTTATGAGTGAAATGGGCTACAGTTTTCTTCTGTTTTGAGGAACAGCAGTGCTGAGGCAAAAAAAAAATCCTTAGAAAGAACTTCATGATATTAACAAAATTCTAGGAAATACATACAGAAACATTCTACAGGCCTGCTTTGAATCTATTCCAGTTTTCATAAACACATCCCCTTCAAACTTCATGTATCTTGCACTCCCGTATAAGGTTCACCATCTACATGCAAGCTTCCTGTCCAGTCCCAGACTCAAGTTCAACTCTCAATACCAGTTTCCTGTAACAGGTGATGCCAATCTTTCCTTTCAACCTCCACTTATACATCCCTCCTAGGTTCTGGAGCCCTTATTTCTCCCCTTCTCTACCTCAGAATTAGTTTTCTGTGCATTCAAATCAGGCAACTTCTCTACCATATGGCCAACAGCCAGGAAAGAACACACATGGATCACTGAACAGACATGCACACCCCCACTTGCACTCCCAGCAGGAAAGAAGCAAACGCTGTAAGGGGAAAGTCTCCATTGTAGCTTTGGGAAGAAGAACCTACCAAGACCTGCCAGACTTTGGTAAGCTGAGTGAAAAATCTTTTCAAAAAGTGCCCCTGAAGCCAAATTCTCCAGTGAAACACAGATAGGTAATTCTGTTTCAAAAGGGTCATTATCTGCTGAAGTTTGTGGAAACCTCTGCAGAGATGGCAGAAGCTGACTTATCTGCAACAGGAAGGATGCACCTGTGCCTCCTCTAAAATGCTGCAGGTGTTTGTGCTTTTCAGAGAAATTGTTACAAGCACATATTTATTTGAACATCAGCAAAATTACAACTTCACAAAGTGTCTCAATGGTGCTAATTGGAGCTTCCCCGTGAAAGTTTCATACACTGACCAAACTGAACACCTGGCATGGAAAACATTGGAAGGCATAATATCAGTAGCAAGCATCAGCTGACCTTAACAAACGGTGCTGTTGGCCTTGCTTATAACGTGCTGTCTCTCTTCCTCTCTCTTTTTTACTATTGCACACAGAGTCTGAGTTTGAATCCAAAATAAGTTATACAAAAGAATATAGAAATACTAAACTAAGGAAAATTTCAGATGAGATTGTGTTGGTTAGCAGTATTAGCAGAAGATGCAGCTGTGTGCATATCACCCAGTCAAGTATTGGCAGTAGGAATATTGCAGCATCCTCTACAACTCTGCAATACTTCATCCACACACCTTAATTTCAGTTAACAATGTCATAATTCTAATTTACAATTCAGCAGCACAACCATTGCTTGCCCCAGCCCATAAAGGAATCGGTGGGCATTTTTGTTCTCCAAACAAAGAAAACATGTCAGATTCCAGGATTAATTATTTTTTACATATACCTCTGTACTGTCACAGGCTTTTCTTTTTCTTTTTAAATCAGCTCCTAGCTGTTATGTGGTGGAGAAACAAGCATCCACAGCAGGGTCAAAAATAACTGCAGAAATTACCACAGAACCAGTTTCATCAAGTGCCAAGCCAGAAGCAGCCCCAGTACTTACTAGTTATTCCTTAAAACTGTTTTCCATCAAAATGCAGGTAATATGTAACTTAGACCACTACTCACTTCAGACTGTGTCTTAGAGTACATGGCACAAGTATTATTATAGACACTTAGAATGATCTCGTAACTTTTCCTTATCAGTCTTGTTCCAAAAGAAGCATTAAACATTATTTATTTTGCAGAAAGAAAGAAGAGGCCCTTAACCTTTCTGAAACCACAGATAACCCCACATGTAAAAACTACCACATGCATAAGAAGTTCGTATCTTCCACCTTAAGGTACCCATATGAGAAGTAGCAGGAATCATTCCTCACCTTGATCCTGCTGACAGCTTCCTGAGCCTGCATCATTCTCACATTCTTGGAAGGAGTTTTATCAGAAAGGAGTTGAGTTGAGCCAAGGTAATTGGCAGCAAAAATTATTCCATCAATTAAGTCTTCAGGGTCGCAAGGTCCAGGAACTGTAATACAGGAAAGCAACCACTGAAGAAAATCATGCTGACCTATGGCAACACAGCACCACTCTCATTACTTGAGCCCGCATCTGATGGCCACAAAATCTTCCTCTGAGATACTCCAGTTTAGCATGGTAATACGGCAACCAGTACTTTCAAAGGTACAAAACACCAAGCAAATGCCCTTGACATCACCCCAGAAAAAGCTGTAGTTGTTAATCTAGCCTGTCTCTCACATTAGTTCATTCTTTTCTGAGCAGGGATGACCCTGGAGTGAAATAATCTCTGCGAGTTTTCACTGTTATAAAGGAACAGACACAGTTACTCAACTCATCCCCCACCCATGAAAATCAGCCTTGCAATTCTAAGACCTACAGTCACAAACAGAAAGAGGAAGGGTGCAATGTAGCATCAGCCATTAGCCACTTGCTCACTTGTGTGTTACCTGCAGTTAGTACAACAGGCAGAAGAACCTCCCCAGGAATGCTTTACCAGTACATCTTTTCCCTTCGCAAGGTCTCAAGAAGGATACTGAAGTACCGAGTTAAATAATAATGTTGTTAAATACACAGAGCACTGGCTCCCCTGATGACAAAACAACTCTCTTAGCCCCTCAGATTCTTAATGATGTGACATCAACTCCTGTTGAAAGTTAGAGGGTGGTGAAGTCTTCAGTGCCTGACAATGCAAACCTTTACAAAACAGTACATATGATCTGTAATTTTTTTGGTGCTTGGTGATTATACCCAAAAATTCTCTCAGTAAAAATGCTGCATTTTAACACCTTGCTACGTGTTAAAATTGGCAAGATCCAAAAGGACACACTGGTTAAGACAAGAAGCTTCTCGTTTTCTTAAAAGTCAGAAAAAACAATTGGTGTTCAAGGCAAGTGAAAACACAAATCCTCTTAAAGAATGCTAATGGTACAAGTGTCCACTTTTATCACCAAAATATTAAACTGGTTTTAGGGGGTTTTTACTAAGAACAAAGCAAAAATCCTACAATATCACAATGGAGTTCAGGGGTTATCTTGAGATATAAAGTAATGAGGCTGCAAGTTTAACAATACTCAGAGTATCAGTTTGGTTCTAATTATAACAGAAGAGATTAACAACCACCGAGAATGAACATGGGTAACTTTGGCCCCAGAGAAATGCAAGTCATTATTAAGATTAAAATACCAAAAGAAAGAGCTGGAGATAAATACCACACTGAAACTATACACACATACAGAAGTACATGTATAAATCTTATGTGCAAGCTTGTCTTCATGGTTTCTTGAAGTAATAAAATTTATGATCAGTAATTTTAAGATGCTCATCTCCAGTGTGCAGAACTGGCTCATATACTGTTTATCTGGAAAATACTAAAAATGAACATGTCGCTCTCAAGTACATGATCCAAAGAAATGGTATCTTCTCCTTAAGGAAATGTATGGATCTGGAAGTATTACATATAGTACACACTTCCATTCCTGAAGCAATACAGCATTTTAAGTGTTGCTATTTGTTACTCTACATGTCAAGGCCTTTTTACCACTTCCACCACTTCACTATAAAGGGTACAAAACCCTTTCTGGTACAATTTCTGATCAAAACAAAAAAACCATGAATATTGGCTGACAAGAGTGTAGATAAGACTCCCAGAAGGAAGCATACTAGAACAAAAAAAAAATGTTATGTGCTCTATTTTAATCAGAGGTGAACACAGAAAGAACATTGCTTTTTATATTTACTACCTCTAATAATTAAATAATTATCTGAATGAAAGTGTAGCATAGATGCTAGCAAGTATCTCTCAGACAGGTAGTGCATAAAAATGGAAAACTTGTTTTCTAAGGAATTTGGCACTGGACCAAGATCTAAGAAAATTTTAGTTTATAGTTGGGTTTTTTTAAGGAGGAGAGGATTATTTAAGATAGGGCTTGACAGACAGGTTTATCACTAGGAGATTAATTTCAATTCCAGTTCTTCATTAATGAAGAATTCCAAAGCCCAGCTAGTTTTCAAAATAATACATGAAGTTTACATTAGTTGACACTAGTTCCAGCCACAGATTCAAAAATATTCCGTTCATACACTGAAGACCAATCCAATGATAAAGCTGTAGCCTGAAGAGAGTATCACATACTCATTTAAAGACAGTACACTGTAAAGCAATCCAAGGAGTTCCAAGACAGTGTAAATGATGTATCATATCAACTGCTATCAGGTGGAAAAAAACCCCACAAATTAAACTTTGAATGTTCTGCTTCTGTCATGCTCCCATAACAAACTAACTGGGTTTTACAGCATGCAGTCTTGCTGGATACACAAGATGCAGACTCACACAAAATTTAGTAGCAGATCACGTAGCAGGTAACTTGGTTTTTCATTGTTCTGAATAAGTAGATCACTCATACAAGTGCAACCCTAACTCTAAGACAGGAAGTATTTTTAATAAGAAGATAAGTAGCTGAAGAAGCACAGGGCAGATTACCTTTGGCAGGCCTGTCAATTAATTAATCCAATTATGCTAATTAATCCAACTGAGATTGGATTTAGTCTGCCAGTTGAACTCAGTGCAGATGAGAACACTACAGTCTTCTTGCCTAGCCTGATTTCCTTGTCCATATATGCTCATGTGTATTGCATAATTACCATTACAAATTTGTGGTATTTTAACTGATAGTGATAAAAAAACCCCAGCAGAACTGAAACAGAAGCTATGAATAAAATACTACAAATAAAAAAGCTCCATGTTTCTGAACTTCTGAAAGAGCATAGTAGGATTTAGGCTGAGGTTCCAAATTGGACATAATTTAATCCAGAACAGTATACCCAACTCCAGCAGCTTTTCTATGCAGAAAAAAATAATTTAAAAAATATATAAATATTAGACATTCCTTGGATATGAAAAAACATTTAGAAAATGTAGAAAATCTTACCTTCAACATAGGTTGGAAATGAAGCCAAGCTTTTTCTGGACTGTAATTAAGAAAAAAAGGATTTCAAACAGAACAGAGCATCCACAAATATGCATTAAAAATTCATCCATTAAAAAAAAAAAAAAGAAGTAAATGATAGTTTTTAGCAAAGGAAGGTCACCATGTACTCAGATTTATTATTATGTTTAGCATTTTCAAAGTCTAAACACCTGTTATAATTAGATTAAATGTATTTTGTTTGTGTCTTCATCAGGCAATGTGCTAGGCTCAGCTGTCAGTCACCTGTTGGTGTTCAATATTAACTGCCTACCAACAGGTGCTCTTTTATTAAACAAGAAGCATGCAGGAAAATATGTCATATCTCAAAGATTCTGGATCTTCCAACTACAAATAATACATGCAGGAATATACTGAATTACACTATACTGTTATTATTCATAACCAATAAGCTCAGTCAATTATTCATTAACAAAATTACATTATTTATTAACCAAAATCTGTCATTCATTAGGACAAGTGTATCTTATGCATCCCTCACATTCACATAGCCTACAAAAAGCTTTCTGAATTTTAACAAGCTAGTCTAGCAACCTATATTCTGTGTGGTAATTGAATTAATAACATGCCACCACCAACGACGTTCACACTGCATAAAGCACAAAAACACATCTGGTAGCTCCAACTTCAAAAAAAGGAACAAATAATTTAAAAAAATGCATACGTAAATACACATTTTAAATTAAGGTCTTAACTTCCAACTGCAATTTTATATGAAAGACTCTGTGGCTAACACTTCAAACACCTGAAAACTACAGTATTCAGTAAGTAAGAATCACCATTTTGTTACAATCAATAATGTAAACCAAAGAATACTCCATGTGGCAATATATAAATTGTAGTAGATATACTGAAATATCTGCTGCTATTACATGTGTTGTAAAGAAGAATTTTGGATAGTCCAGGGATTACAAAACTTAAATGAATCTGCAACTGACTGTACTGGCAATAACCTCACCGATGACTGTTTAATGTAATTTTATTAAAAGAAAATCTATATATGGTCAGAATAATGCATACTTAGACAATTTCCAGTATATTTCCACACAATGTAGGCTGAAATACATCCTAATTTACTTTCCTTTTTGATGGGCAATTTACTCGGTTCTGTGTATTAGTGGAAAAAAAAGGTAAACTAGGAAGGTCACAGTTATGTGACAGGTCAAGTGACTAACCCCAAGGAATCTTTTCCGTTGCAACAAATAGAAAATGGACAAAATAAATAATATTTTTCAACCAATGATGCTTGCCTTGCTGTAAAACAAAACAACCTGTGAAATAAAACCAAAAAGTCTGTGCATCCTTTAAGCACTTGCTGCTTCTTATGAAAAAGACTACACTGTACTGCAAAATCAAGGAAGTTCTCTATTGGAGACTATGCTAGAATAAAAATGCCAATAAACAACAACCTGCAGCTGCCAAAGCATATAAGCTACTCTGAGGACACTGACGTGTTTTTTTAGATCTATGGCTCTTTCATCTCTTCAGAGGAATGTTTTCACAGGACCAACCCATACACACTCCAACTGTTGTCTGCAATTGCTGCTGGTGTAGTGCTAAGAGGGAGGTTCTACCACTGGATTCTGATGGGCCTAGAGGACAAATCCTGTACATGTCAGAGATGGCTCATGCATATAAATGGTGTTTTCAAAGCCCTTTTTTTTTTTTTTTTTAATAGAGTGAACAAAGTCTGTAATTCTATTGTAAAAAATTCACACACAAAAAGATATTTTTTTGTTCATTACCCAGGTTGAAAGACATTCTACTAAGATCAGAGGAACCGTAAAGTAACCGGACCGTTCACCTTTCAATAATGAATAATGAAATATCAAGGTAATTAATATTTCATCACTCTTGTTAACCTCATTGCAACCTAGCATTACAAAATTTATACTTTAAAAAAAGGTTTCACTAAGACCTACAAGTAATTCCAAAAAGTGACCAGGATGCTGTACCATTGTTGTTTTCTCCTTTTGGGTAGTCTGTAATTCTATTGTAAAAAATTCACACACAAAAAGATATTTTTTTGTTCATTACCCAGGTTGAAAGACATTCTACTAAGATCAGAGGAACCGTAAAGTAACCGGACCGTTCACCTTTCAATAATGAATAATGAAATATCAAGGTAATTAATATTTCATCACTCTTGTTAACCTCATTGCAACCTAGCATTACAAAATTTATACTTTAAAAAAAGGTTTCACTAAGACCTACAAGTAATTCCAAAAAGTGACCAGGATGCTGTACCATTGTTGTTTTCTCCTTTTGGGTAAGTTTGTTGATATCCAAAAACTGCTAAAAGTCAGGATACATATGAAGTGACAAAATCTGTATTGAAGAAAGCTAAGGGCTTTAACAACCTAACAAAAGAGGAGATGAAAAAATAATGGTATAATCTATTGTTGAAAGCTTTAGCACACAAGAAATTACGAGTTTCTCAAGTTTTTTGAAACATTTCATTATTTTCTAAAGGCAGATACAGACTGGCAGAAACAACAACATTACAAGATTTTAATAATAACAAGAGGAAAAAAAAAATTTAATTCATTACCAATTAGTGTTTCATTTTTTTACCAATATTTCCCATTACACTAAATGAGTTTTTTTCACTGTGGAAGATCATTTACACATTGCTATCAGTAACAATATGTTATCTTGTCAGACTAGTTTCTAGACTTTTTTGAAGTTTATAAAACAAAAAGCAAAGAAACTGAATATTTAGAGATTTTTCTGTTTGCAAAACCAGCCACTTTACACTAAATACTTTTTATACCAAATGATTTTGTTTTCACACTGTGAGAAGTTCTAGTCAGACTCCTAATTTTCTGTTGAGGGAACTACTGTAGTGTAAAAAGCTGTCAGGTGAGGAAACAAAAAAAGAAAAAAAAAGAAAAAATGCTTTATTTTTGAAAGCCTGGAGTCAGGAACTGAATTCTGATTGTGAATCACTGGCAGGTCAGTTTCTACAATGACAAAATGTTAAGCAGCACAAATTACTACCAAATTCACTTCAGTTAAACAAGTATTTTCATTTGGTTGAGAAACATTACTTTCTTTGATCAGAAGATATTCTGCATGGATAAAAGAAAAAGGCCTCTTCCTCTTGCCTCTAATACAGAGGTGCTGTTGGCTGTCTGGTAAACCAGTGCCTCCCACCCTGGTAAATAAATTTAGTGGTAGCTGAACACAGAGTAAAAAATGACATGATGAACAGTCTTAAATATGTTTGAAATTCAGTCAGGCAGCCAGGCAAGCATAAGGGAATGGAGCTAAAAATCAGTTTTTCAAGTTTGTTGCAACTTTGCACAGGTACAAGGGGGCAGGGAAAAAAACAAAAGGAATAAACAGCATGAACAAGGCTGCAGCTTTTAAAAATATTTCACTCTACCTCTTTATTAGTGGAGCCCTCTGCTGTACTGCAGACATCCTGGTGATGTTGTCTACTTGACGATTCAGCACCCCGAGGGGAAGAGGAATCTGGAGATGGAGACTAGACATGGCAAAAAATTAAATCATAACCTGAGTGACCAATGTAGAAATTCTTCTTTCATACTTTTGTGTAGCTTGATACTGGAAAGAAGAGATGAGATGGGGAAAAAATAAAAGGAAAAGGAAAAAGAGAGGAAAAAAACCAAAAAAAACCCCAAACAAGACAAACACATAGAGTGTGGAATTCATGAAGGTGATCAAAATGAAAGAGAGTAACATTGAGTTCTATGAAATAGTGTGCAAAATAAAATAATCTTAAGTTTTGCAACCTTAGCTTCACAGATATGGAACAGAAAAAGAAGATATAATTCCCTTCTCCTCTTCACCTTCATTCCTTTAACAGGTCTATTTTGGGTAATTACTAGATATTAGAACTATAGTTAACTAATAAATGCTTCCAAAGAGTCAAGAACCAGTTCCTTATAAAGATATCTCCTGGGCAAAAGAGCAGTCCTTGCATCTTCCTTTGTTTTGAATTACTGCTGCAGGGCAATATGAAGATGCAGCTGTGAAACGGTCCCTGGAATGCTGGCATGGGTTTGCAGCATCAGACTGAAGAGCTGCTTATTTACCAGCTGGCATTTCTGCAGAGGCTGTGGGAGAGATACAGGGTCCCCTGACTTGCTGTATAACTACCAGAGTTACTGTGCCACAGCGACTCAACTGCACAACCCACAACTCTTCTGTACTTAAGGGAGTGCCCTCATAGTGTTCACATTCCCAACAGTTACATAGTACTTCCCTATTAGTATTAAATACACAATGTGCCTGATACTATTAGTCTAATAATAACATCCGGATAGTGTAAGATTTAAGTATTAAAAAAAGAAACAAAGTAAAGAACATAATATCAAATGTTTCCACAAACATTTCTCACCTTCCCCCCCCCCACATTACAAGAGGGGAAGAGGAATCTGGAGATGGAGACTAGACATGGCAAAAAATTAAATCATAACCTGAGTGACCAATGTAGAAATTCTTCTTTCATACTTTTGTGTAGCTTGATACTGGAAAGAAGAGATGAGATGGGGAAAAAATAAAAGGAAAAGGAAAAAGAGAGGAAAAAAACCAAAAAAAACCCCAAACAAGACAAACACATAGAGTGTGGAATTCATGAAGGTGATCAAAATGAAAGAGAGTAACATTGAGTTCTATGAAATAGTGTGCAAAATAAAATAATCTTAAGTTTTGCAACCTTAGCTTCACAGATATGGAACAGAAAAAGAAGATATAATTCCCTTCTCCTCTTCACCTTCATTCCTTTAACAGGTCTATTTTGGGTAATTACTAGATATTAGAACTATAGTTAACTAATAAATGCTTCCAAAGAGTCAAGAACCAGTTCCTTATAAAGATATCTCCTGGGCAAAAGAGCAGTCCTTGCATCTTCCTTTGTTTTGAATTACTGCTGCAGGGCAATATGAAGATGCAGCTGTGAAACGGTCCCTGGAATGCTGGCATGGGTTTGCAGCATCAGACTGAAGAGCTGCTTATTTACCAGCTGGCATTTCTGCAGAGGCTGTGGGAGAGATACAGGGTCCCCTGACTTGCTGTATAACTACCAGAGTTACTGTGCCACAGCGACTCAACTGCACAACCCACAACTCTTCTGTACTTAAGGGAGTGCCCTCATAGTGTTCACATTCCCAACAGTTACATAGTACTTCCCTATTAGTATTAAATACACAATGTGCCTGATACTATTAGTCTAATAATAACATCCGGATAGTGTAAGATTTAAGTATTAAAAAAAGAAACAAAGTAAAGAACATAATATCAAATGTTTCCACAAACATTTCTCACCTTCCCCCCCCCACCCCCCATTTAAGATGCTTGACAGCTCTCATATTCATACAGTAAAGTGATAACAATAAATTATTTTATTTAAACTATTTGGTTGCTGATTTTAAGTAATTCTGCACCATTTTAAATGTGTTAACAGTTACTCCAGTAGCACTGCAAGTACCTTTCTCAGCTATTTTAATCAATAAAGTATCATAAGTAAGCAAGCATCTAAATGATCACCCCACTTTCCATGTGCTCTGTTTGAATGTCTGCTCAAATTTTTCTGATGAAATAAACCCTACCAAACCCAAACATCAAATATCCTACAAATTTTGCTACATAACTGGACAGGACATCAGAGCTGTGCCCAAAAAGGTCTGTACGAAACAGCTCAGTCTTGGAAGAATAATCACTCAGTTTTTTTCTGCATCTAAATGCATTTTTAGAGGTACCATTAACAACGCACAAGGAAAGAATGCAGTCACAGCAATAACAAGAAATATTTTGATACATCACAGTAGATAGATAACTTGCAAAGCTGCTCAAAACACTACAGCTGAAGTCTAAAATAAATGCATAGCGACTATTTGTTGTTTGTTACTAAAACAAATTTTAGAAGCCAAAAAATATGCTGTCAGAACTACACAGTAAGTTAATGTGAAGCAGGCTGCTACCACACAGACAGGTTCATCGATGGAATTAGGATGCATTTTCTTAAGTGCAGCAATAAAGAAGTACTAGTTACCCCATTTATCCTCTTGAATATCTACTCACATTTTTCTTACGATACTCAGCTTGGTACATCCAAAAATTCTCCATCTCAACTTCAGTGCTGTTTGACTCAATCCACTCCACCTGAGAAACCTTCCTGACTACTGTGCAGAGGGACTTAGTAACAGAACTTGTAACAGGAGAGAACTGTGTTGCATCATGTTGCACCTAGCCTACCCAGCCAATCCAGCTGGCTACTGGACAGCCCATGAAGACCAACATAAATGACACTGAAACATCTTCAAATACAACCAGCTGCTCTTACCTTATATAAGCAGTGTTGTTTTACATGCTTTTACCTGTTTACCTCTCTCAAGTATGGACTTCCTTAGCTGTACTTGCATTCAAACTTCTAGTTCAAATGCAACTTCATGTGTCAGTCTGAAAATATTAGTATAAATTGCTCCTATTTTTTAAAAAGGACCGAGAAACTGTAATAAGTGCTGTTCTAGTTTTCAACAGCACAAAAAAAGCACCTGAAATTGCTGTCATCTTCCAGTAATAATAAAAAAAAAGATAGTAAAACAAAGATATTCAAGGTTATGTATCCAGTGTTCAGTTTGATTTACAGTCTTGTAACTCCTCTGGTGACTGTTTGTCTTCACACGGACTAACTGAAAAAGTTAAGTTGATGGATCAGCATAAACCTTCTGCCCTGGATATTGAAATGCTTTTTGTTTTGGTTTGGTTTTTAATAATTTTTGGTTTGGAGTCCTTGGGGCATTTCTTTGCTGTATTATTTTGAGACTGTGGTCTTGCATAGATGACAGAAAGATGATCTGTATTCTGTCTGCTCTCCCAACAGTTTTTAAAGGTCTGCTCATAAAAAAACCCCAATATCCTATCAACATAAACTCATCTTTATTTAATTTCTTTTCTTTATCTTTTTTTTCTCTCTTAGTTCATCTATTACAGAAACCTGCTCAATTATTTAAAACCACCTTCTCTTTTGCCTTGTTAATAATACATCACTCTTGCTGTGGAAAAAGTGAAGCAAATTCATCTTCATGAAAACACTTCACTTCTGGAGTTACCAGGAGTGAGAAACTCCTGCAATTTGGAACTCAAGGGTTGAAACACAAAGTGTATAATGAAATAGAACAAAGAAGTAAAACAATGCAGCTCAGTACTGTTCTACCTGAAATGCATGTCTTCATCTCTGAATTTCTGCCTCACAAATCCAAACCAGCCATGGGCATGGTTTTACTTTATACAAGGGTTTATTCTAATATTGCACCACTCAAGTGTCTGCAGAGGAACAGACTGTGAACACTAATGAGAGGGATTTGCAAAACTGAAGTCTTGGCACGCAGCAACAAACTATGCATGCAGGTAACAAAACCTGGCCTTCAGATCTGTAATGCTATGGATGACTGAGTACACCACAGAAAAAGGTCATGGTATGTAGTTCTGGAATGGAGAACTTCTCCCTCCAAAACACTGTTTTCTCCTGGTTCTGGCCGAAGTGAAGCAGGCAGCCTGCTTTTCTTCTCTGGACATCAGATGACAGAAATACTCTTTACATACCAACGAAAAATGATCTACTTTTGTGCCTTTCAGTGCATTTCTCATCATGTCTTTGTACTTCAACAACCAAACAAGCCACTATTCCTAAAGCTCTATGGAATTTTAAAGATGCTTTTTCAGGCCTTCTGTACAGTTTACACACCAGAATATTTAATTGTATTCTGACATACCTATTACACAGAGCTATTCCCTTTTCCACTTGAACATGTGTTCATCTTTAAGTCCAGATCCACAGTCTGTAGATGTCTTCTGTTTAGACTTTTAAAAACCACTATTTCTGTATTTAGCTAGGCTCTCTCACAGCAGGTTTCTGGTAGAGAATCTAACAGAGAAAAATGACAGAAAAGAGCTCCCCATGGGCCTTCCCTTCCTGTGAGAAAACTGTAGACATCTAGAAGCACACCGTTTTCTAACGGGTACACCCCTCCACCACTCTCAGACATGTGTGTACCATCAGCTCCATGCTGGTCTCCAGCATGTATCAACATTTTCAGTACAATGTGAACAGATTCTCTCCCATTTCAGACTTAGAAAACACAACCTAACTCCAGTTTTACAGTCCTTCCCATCATGGGTCAGTTTCCTGATGTCAGATTATTGCAGGGCAGCTCTTAACTGCTACTGTATTTGAAAAAGATACCCTCATGAGGACACATCCAAATGATGGCCTTCTTTGGTTTAAAAAGTTTTCTGATAAACACATTTTGGAAATATATGTGGCAAATGTGAAAAAAACCCACACACCTCATTGCATTTATTCAAAGGACTCCCCGTGTTTTCTCCCCCTTTACTCCACTCTTGTGAAATCCCACCTGGAGTATTGTATCTAGTTCTGGAGCAACAGACACAAGAAGCTGCTGGAGCAAGTCCAGAGGAGGCGACGAAGATGATCAGAGGGCTGGAGAACCTTTCCTGTGAAAACAGGCTGAGAGAGTTGGGGTTGTTCAGCTTGCAGAAGAGAAGGCTCCAGGGAGACCTTCAGGCAACCTTCCAGTACCTGAAGGGGCTACAGGAAAGCTGGGGAGGGACTTTTTACACAGACATGTAGCAGTAGGACAGGGAGCAATGGCTTTAAACTGGAAGAGAGGCTAGACACTGGCACAGGTTGCCCAGGGAGGTTGTGGATGGATGTTCCCTCCCTGGAAGTGGTCAAGGCAGGTTGGAGGGGGCTTTGAGCAACCTGGTCTAGTGGGAGATGTCCCTGCCCATGCAGGGGGGTTGGAACTAGATGATCTTTAAGGTCCCTTCCAACCCAAACTGTGCCATGATTCTATGACAGAGAGAATTTTTCAGCTTTTATCAAAAACACAAGTGCAACATCTTCCCTGCAAATTAGATGTTCAGACCGTCTCTTATGCAGGTGAAAGAATGCATCACTAAACCAGAGTGCATAAGGCACATGGCAGCAAATACTCTCCAATATTAAATATTAAGCAGGTACTTTGGGACTCTCTCTCCCTCTCTCTCTCTCTACCTACTTACCTACCTTTCCCTCACAGTCACTGCATGCCTTTCCTAACATTTCTAACATTCCTTCCTGAACTATACCCAGCTGCAGGCAAACTGAACGCTTCTGGATTGTTATCTTCTCAAAATCATCTCTGGACACTTCCAGCTGGAACTCTACCAAACATTCTTCTGCGAATGTGTCATCTAAATCCTCAGCACTGAGGAGTGACAGATGCTTTCTTGTGAAAAAAAGGCGAAAGAGGTTGTCATATGTAATGAGCCTCAACCGCAGCTCATTATTCTGAATCCCTGGCTTCATTGCTCTCTTGTGGAGAGCTCCTAGCTAAATAAAAAGTTACTGCTATTTGGATCTAAAAAAGGTTTTACAGTTTCAATATCATATATTTAACAACAGAAAATTACAAATATTTTCAAGTAAGTTTTATCTCTAAAAAGGAAAATGGTTTTGTTAAGAAACAATGAGGGGACAATTGTCAAAGTAGAGCTGCAAAATAACTCAATGCTAGTAAGAGCACCCAATTTGCATCACTTATCTGTAAGCTCCTTGATAATTCTGGGGAAATAAAGGCTGTCTTCCCTCTTTATGTAATTCCTTCTTATTTCAAGGCCAATGCTACAAATCACTCTAAAGAACAATTCTGGCATGTATTGGTTATGCTGAAATGCTCCTCTCTAAGATCCTGTTTCTTTCTCAAGGGAGACGAAAGAAAAAACTGTATTTAGATCAACGGCCTTCAACTATATTTTTATTATGATGCATCGCTCATTGTCACTTATTTAACACAACAAAATTTGCCCAATTTACCACTAAACAATTCTAGAAATGACTGTTCAGACTTTAAACAAGTTGTCATCTGAATTAAAGAATGCAGTAAATACAAACCTCATCTTCAATGAAAAACATAATTTTGACACAGTCACAAGTCCATTCTTCTACAGCATGTGTTCCCTTCAATCTGCTACAGATCTTCTAGACTATTGTCTTTATTTATTTACTCTTTCCAAGAACACAGACTGCATGTCTACAACCATAATTTTATCTTTGCACTGAGCTGTACCAACTGTCACTATACATTGCTGTTTTGATTACAGCTAGCACTGAAATCTCAAGTCATGCTCTTATCTGACAGGTAATAATATTGAGTGAGAAATTAACTTCTCATGCAAAACTGAAACCCCTGTGTGAAGGACCAGATATTTCCTCACACAAACATCACATGCCCTTTAGGTCAGCAGTCATAACTGGCTTAAAGATGGCTGCTCCACGTGGCGCTGCCGCCTCCTCTGCCAGAAAACAACAACTCGGATGCCAGGACGGGGCAGCTGCTGCTAGAGAGGAGCAGTGGTGGGAAAATGGCAACAATGTTGCAAACTGCAAGTCTGCAGTGGCAGGACAAAGTCCCCACCTGATTGGCTGAGAAGCCCTAGGAATAAGAAACCGGCCAATTGGGAGCAAAGGAGACCCATAAAAGAGACAGCGTGCGTGCCGCTTTTGCAGGGACCCTGGAGCTGCTGCTGCTTTTGGGGGGGACCTGCGCCTTGGGGTGCCTGCCAGCCAGAGGTCCCCGCTCCTGTTTCGGCTCCCGCTTCTCCGGTTCATCCCGTGTCGCCCATGGCTTTTTGCAGTCCTGGTTTCCGGCTGCGCTGCCTGTTGTCCCCGGCTGCATCGCCTGCTGCTGCCCACCTGCTGCTGAGCACGTGCGGAGAGACGTGGTTCTAAGACTGGGTTGCAGGGGAAGTCACCCGCAGCTACTATGTAAGTACCTAGAGCATCTCGGGAACAAAGTAAGGGATTGTATTTTGGGCATAATTCTCTCCCTAAGGTGTTCCTG